ATCGATGGGAGTAAACACCCCAACAGATGACGTCATCGTTGGGGTTGTTTGCCTCCATCACAGGTTTTATCTCCCATCGATGACCGGTCAAAACCGGTCATTGATGGGGGTGTTTACCTCCATCAAGGACCGGTTAAAACCGGTCCTTGATGGGGGTGTTTCCTCCATCGATGACTGGTTATGACCGGTCATCCAAGGGGGTGATAGGGGGGGTTGACTCCCATCAAGGACCGGTCAAAACCAGTCCTTGATGGGAGTGTGTCCTCTGTATGGGACTGTATGGCCAAATTGGCTGATGGATTCATTTTTTTTTATATTTTTTTTTTTTTTTCAATTTTTTTTTTTGGCCAAAGTGGCGGTTCAGTACCTCCATACAAAGGTGACAACCACATTTAGTTTTTGATTGTGCATCTGTTTTTAGGTATCTAACTGAAGTAAGTGGATATTTGATTGTGGAAAAATATGACAAGAAAGTTTTGAATGACTCCAAATAGAACCCAAATGATAAAAATTAGAAAGCAACCCCCTATGATGATACTAGCAACCCCCAAAGTGGGCTTGAGGTTCTGTAGACTGGTAGGGTTGCACCCTGCAGGGAATTGCATGTATAGATTTTAAATTTGGTGGCCATGCTGTATTCATCAGCCCACAAATTGGTATAAGATCTAAACAATGGCATAGTTTTAATGCTCATGAAACACAATTTATGGTTTTTCACAGTTTCAGTATAACCTAGGCTGTTACTATTCTGGCTGGGGTATGAGTCCAGAGAAGCCCTCTGCAAATAGGGTTGCTGTGGAAGATTTCTGGGGGTTCTTAGCAAACTGGTAAATGGTCAAGGCTCACCAAGAGCCCCTGAAAAGCTGGGAGATAAGCAAGATTTCCACTTTCCCAAGAGAATTCATATTCCTGGACTATGTACTATAAATATGCATGGAGTTTAACAAACATCACCACTGGAAATGTCCACAAAGATTTTAACCGCCATGGATCCTTTTGGTTTCATCATTACATCTCATCACACTTTTTTCCATCCATAAACAACAATTATGTAATAGGAAGTCCTCCATTTATTTAGGAATGTGGTTATAAAACTTAAAACAATTAAATAAACAACACCCATTACACATAGATTCCAGTGTAATCAACCAACAAGGTACTGCACTAAGTGAAGTTTGGAGCCCACTTTAAAATAATTGGATGACCTACAAATTTTACTGCCCTTTGGAGTGATTATACCAATCCTTTCACTTCATTTATTGAAAAGAAGCAATCTGTTTATGACCAAAAGAATTGGAAGGGAATACCAAAGAAGCAATTAAGACAACTTAACAACTGCAGGCCCAAAATTGGGTCCTGGAAATTGTTACTCTGATTCCAGCTGAATATTTCACAATTTTTCCCAAATCCTAAGAATGTTGTACATGATCTTCACACTTATCAAGTATGATGTCTCCTTGGCAAAGATGTACTGACTGTACCCGCTTTCTGAGGAAGGGTTCTCCTTGGCACAAGTGGGCCCATCACCTAAAAACTGATGTTAAATATTCATTTGAAAGTGAGTACTGTACCTGATACAGTAGACTGCTGGTGAAAAATTTCCGTGGATTCCTTGCTACCTCTTACATGATACCTTGCAATATCAAATTTTAGCATATTCTTCAAACCTAACTTATATCTACATTCATTATTCCTTCATTTTTCAACACCTGAGCTGTTCCAGTGAGAATCCCTCATTCAGTTCCCTTCTATCTTCTTTATCTTGAGATTTAATTATAACCACACCAAAACTGTTGGTGCAATGTCTGAAGGCCCCAGCAGCAGTCCAGGTCATTTGGGTTTGAACCTGGGATTAACCATTCCAAAGGGAAGTAGCTGAGACATCCCCAAGCATTCTGTGACCCCCACATTGTGCACCAGTTATACATGTGAGTGGTGTGTTTTGTTTGGACACCAGGAGTGTGCAAGAACCATGCAGGGTCACAGGAGCACCACATTGACTGTATCCAAGGTAAAGAATGTCTCTGTGGACCCGTGGCAGGTACCCAGAACCCATGGTTGGTCACCTCCCGCACCCACCAGGCAGTGCGGGATTTGGTTAACTTCCAGGTTCCTGTTTTTTTTGTGGAAAAGTTGGGGGTACCTAGGCAATTTTGGCAAGGCAGCTCAAAACCAAAAGGAAGTTGAGGTGCATCACACCAACCCACAGGCACCCAACAGGCTAGATGCCCCTGGTCCCTGGGGGAATACCTGAATCCCCAAGTCGTGCAGTGTGTGGACCAGTGCTGGGTGCAGGGCCCGGCCCCAAGCACATCCAATCAACTCACAGTGTTGAGTTTTCTATGTGTCTGCGCAAGGAAAAACCCCCCGCGCAGCCAGTGTTGCGGCAGATGGACTGCGGCAATGCCCGACCAACCACTTAGGGTTAAAAAACACTTCCCCTTAAGAGCTCTTCCATCCTTTGTTCTCCGCTCTCCTCATCCGATCTAGAAGATACGAACTAGAAAAATAAACTTGGATCACTCAAGACCATCCCCAACTCCTCCACCTTTTTGACCTCAAGTCACCCACTTCATCAGGACCGAAGCTCGTAAAGTAATGTACTTTGACAAACTTCGATTGACAGACACAATCCTAACTCTTCCTCATTCCTTTCCCACCACAGACTGAGCCTCTCATTTCATTGTCCTATTCCTTTCCGTGTCGAATCCAAACGCATCCTCTTATTCTTCTGTTTGTTTTCCCTTTTCCTTTTTGGGTTTCTTTCCTTTCTTGTTTTCTTCTTTGTTTGTTGACTAAAGAACTAATCCATTTATTTTCCTTTTTTTCTTCTGGTATTCTTTCTCATAGTCTTGACTTCATCGCACTACATCTCCTTCCTCAGAATTGTGAGCCTGGGTCTCAATAGTGACAGCAGGACACAAAGGTTGGGGGGCACTTTTAAATGTATTTCTTAGGATAAAGGAAATACAAGTAAAAGTAGAAGAGAGGGAAAGAAGAGAAGGAAAAGAATAGAGTAATCTTTTTGTTCTTTGGTTATTTTATGATGAAGATTAAGTTATGGCAGTCTCACTGTCCCTCTTGGATGGCTGCAGACAGTCTTACTTTCCTTAGTAGGATAGCTGTTATAAGCGGAGCTAACTCTGACGCCTCCAAATCAACAGAAACTGAAATGGGTATTGACACTGATGAATCAGGTCAACCACAATTTTTTAGATCAAAAGATCAAGGCTCTTTAAAGGGAAACCTATGTAGTTTTCAGTTGTACTACCAAACAGGAAGAGAAGAGATAATAGAAGCTAGAGCTTGCTTTCTTTGATCAGGGCTTTGGTTTGATGAGGAGTGAAGGGAAACTGAGAGAGACAGAGAAGAGAAACAAGCAGAAAAGATGCTAGCTTAACTTATGAGAAGAGACTTACTAATGATACCAATGACACTGAGTAGTGGGAAAGGTAGGAAAAGTGAGGTCCTTCTGGTTGATAAGTGTTTGCTTGATCTGGGTCTGGTTGTTGGTGTTCTGTGTTGGTCTGGAGTCTGAAGATCCTCTGGAAGCAGAATCAACAAGCTCAGAGAGGATTTTCACAGTTGGATTATGTAATCTGGTATGTACATGTGGTAGACGGAGCGGAAACCTAAAGGTTGGAATAATTCTTGGAGTACTGTGAATTGTTACAAAGTCAATGAAGGAATGGAGTTGGGTAAAAGTGATCAGTGGTGACTAGGGTTAATTTTACACCAGGAATCCATTTCTGAAGCCAGAAAGGTTAAAAGTCTTAAGATAAAAAAGATAAGATAATATTTTGAGTAGAAATGGGCAGTTTTGGCAGTCTTTTGGCCAGCTTGGTTGGCTCTAAGGCTGACAAGAATAGTCCTCTGAAGTTCTTGTCATCCAGTACAACTGTATGCCTCAATTCTCTGACTCTTTCATCTTCTCATCTTTTTGTTCTTATTGATCCTGATTCTTCTTTTCTTTCTCTTTAGTTCTGGTTTCAGTTTTGCTTGCAATCAATCAAATTTTTTCACACAGGTAACTTTCTGAATTCCTGCCTGAGCCCATCAGACGGTGCCAGCTGCTGTGTCAAATACCTAATTTGGGTAAAAAAACTGGCTGGTAACCAGGTCCACAGCGACATTCTTCAATCTAAGGTATCAGACACACCTGGGTGTGTAGCAGCTGAGGATAAGTCCTCCTAGGCCAGTAGATGCAGCTATCCAAAAGAAATATGAAATTCTGTTGAAAATAGTCCTGACTCCTTAAACTTGATTACATTTTTTTGTAGATTTGGCTCCTGGTGAAATGCGGGAGACATATTCAGAGGTTCTGATGGATGTTGACCATATTTGGGAGTCAGAAATGCTGGGAGGTGTTTAGCCAAGAACTCAAATTAAATCTGATCACAACCTTCAAACACAAAATTTACAACACCAACTTCTCAAACACCAGGAGTTATCACAACAAAACCAGTGTTCAAGAAAGAACTTGTCAATGTATTTTAGTAAGATTTGAAAATAGAACAAAAAGACTATCTTTCCAGGAACTAGTCATAGCTCCTCCTGAATTTTTGAATTATTCAAGTGATGAAATTGGGTGTTGATCTTGATTGATCAGCAAATAGGCCTTTGACTTCCAAACCTACCTCCTCTCACACTCTGAATCCCACTCTTTCTTTCCCAGAAACTATATTCCTTTCCTCTCTTCATCTGAATCAATTGAGCTAATCTCAAATATTGATACATTCTCAAATATTGATACATTAACCCAAACCATTCAATCAGCTTAATCTTTTTTCAGCCATCCTCACTTCTTACATCATTCTTCAATGTGAAATCTTTTTCCTTTATTTTCTTTCTTAATTCTCTCAATCTGGTTACTCTTTCCATCATGTGAGATCTTGATATTCATTTTTCTTCATCTCCTCCTGACTGATGTCTAGTTCTGCTAGTCTGTTATCTCCTCTTGTCTTTCCTACTTTCAGAATCTCTTGGCCGTACTGTGTCTATCTTACCATCCCAATCTTGATTACATTCTGTTTATTTATCTTTCTACTTCCTTTATCTTGTCTTTTATTTTTTGTTGATGGTTTTCTTTCCTCAGACTGAGTTTTACTATGCCATTTGGCAATTTCAAATTAAAAATCCTTCAACATCCATTTTTTTTCTTGTATCACTAAAGCTGATGAAATCTAGTAATCAGCTTCCAAGCATTTTTTCAGCATTTCAGATAAGTATAGCACATTCTGAAAACTAACACAAATGTTTAAAATTTCATAATTGATCTTTATAAGATGATGGTGAAAGAAGTTAAATTGAATTTTCCTAGCTGAAGATATGTGCCTGGGCATTTCAATGCTTCAGAAGTTCTCTCAGTTAGTAAATACCAAGAGCAAATGCTAAGTCCTTCGCTTGGGATTCCACCCCATGTTGATTGGGATCTCCCAATGTGTTTGACACTAGTTCAATTTCCTTCTTGAGTTCATTGATTATTTCGAGGGATTCTAACTTAGGTGTTTGCATGTTAGTATCTTGGTTTTTTCCGAGAGAAATTAGCAAGGGTTGTTCTGCTTTGTCCATGTCAACCAAATATCTCCCATCTAAAAGCTCGAGTCCATACTTTTCGGTCAAGTCTCGGTCCGGAGATCTTTGCAGAGTTTTGCATAGTTCAACATAGGCCTTCTGGAGGATATCAGAATATTCAATCATATATGTCTCCAAGGCCTGTAATTTGGGAAAATCGGCTAATTTTCGAAGTTTTCTCATATATTCTTCAGATAAGCTTGACGGCTTGACGCAGTATTCGATCAGAAAGCGTAGTACGTTGTACGAAAGCTTGATTCGTATTAAATAATGGTCTAATGCTTCCCCGTCAACTGTTGAGAAGATTCGGCGAATTAAATCTTGCAACACCTGATGTATATGACCCTGAAAAGCGTGATCGGTCAATCTCTCGACGGCGGGCGATGTGAGCGCCATGAATTCATTTCTTAGTTGTATAAGTTGCTTAAAGGAAGCCATGTGCTCTTCTAGTTCAGGGTCCAGACTAATTCCTGTTAGTTGAGCGTCCAAACATGAGCGCTCCAAATTCTTCCAAGTGACCGAATCCAAATCTAGGGAAAACAGCAACAAATACCCCCTCAGTTTGCATTGCATCCGAGCACTCATAGAACTTGTTGCCGGTTAAGTGGCTTAGAGGAGCATCAAGATGTAGCGGTCAACTTTGGACTTACGTTTTAATAGACCATGTATTAGATGAGTTGAAGGACTTGATTTCATACTAAGCCTGAAGTCAATCGACATATACAAAACCTGGAAGTGAGCAGGGTTAAACACGTGCACCCCGGAGGTCCAATTAAAAATCAATTTCCCTCGGTATCGGTCATTCAAAATTCCCCTGATGAATTCGTCACTAATCAGGCTGTGTTTTTCTAAAGCAGCAAGTAGACCAACGGAAAAGTCGTTCAGGCGGTACATCAGCTTGAGCGCGTTAACGTTAACTTTGGCAGTTGTGAATCGTTTTGGATCCTCCAATATGATGCAAGATTCTTCAATCTTTCCCAGGATGTGCAAGACCAACTTGGCATTGGATTTTTGCAAATCGCCGGTACCAGAGCCTATACCGGCCAACAGCCCCGGCTTTTCAGCTCTAGGTGTAACGATAACATGATAAGCATTGGAGATGTCGCTCCCGTGGTTCTGCAAGCTAGCTATGTCCGCTTGGCTGAGTTCAAGTGTGTGGTGGTTGATATTCACGAAGAATCCAGTGAGGACCCAGTTCAATTGATCTTGCATTTCCTGGCGCATTCCTTAATCGCCGCGGTTACCAAGAGTTCTACGTCAGGTCTGATTTGCAAGACGTCCGCCATAAGGGGTAGTAGGAATCGGAACTTACTTGCAAGAGCTGCGGATGAATAAGTTTCAAAAATACATGCCGTTAGAGTTCTGGAAAGCCTCAATATCACTCAATAGACTCTTGCTCACCTCTTGGTGCTAGAGTTGAATCGAGGTTGAAAGGAATTATAGTTCAGGTGTAATCGACACATGGCCGCAAAAGAAATTCACGATAAGAGGATGTCAGTAGCCTTTGAAAAACTAGCCATGGAATTTACAAATCTACTTGTGCACACCGTTTGGTTCAACCTCATGTTCAAACTCATGTTGCAGCATTTCGTCTTCATGGCCTGTATCCTCTTTGATCGGGGACACTTCATTGGGGTCTCTGTTTCCGGTAACGACTAGTGGTTGATTTCGGTCAATTTCAATTTCAATCTCGATAAATTTTTTTAATCAGATATTGCTGATGGCTTACGCTGGGTCAAGTCGCCTAAAGTAGGGCGTTGATGAGGGGGAGCACTAGCCGTCACTTCAACGAAAGAATCTATGCAGAACGCGGGTTTGGATCTCAACAGCGTGTACTGTAAAGCATGGCAACAATCTGATGCGTACCCATACGTGCTTTTTTGTATAAATCATACTCTGGTTTCGGGAGAGAGGATAGATCGTGATCTGGAAAGAAGACGGCCTTCACACTGAAACTCAATAAGCAGATCGACAAAAGCGAAATTATTGATGGCGGAGAGGTCCAACGGAACAAAGCACCCATGTTGGACTGTGAGAGGTAGACGCGCAGATCACTTTGGGATTTGCTTGATCGATGCGAACGCAAGATTCGCGAGGATGAGCTATTTACGAAGTGCTCGCAAGAAGCATGTAAGACAATTGCGAACAGGTGGGCCAGCCATTAGGCAATGGGTGCTCTTGAAAAGGGAGCCCCAGGGGTCTTCCCACTTGTTACCATGTGAATAGGCCACTCTGCTTCTGAGACACGTTCAGTCTGTAAGAAGGTTTCAAAGTCAAGAGGTCAGAATCAAAGTGGACGTGTGGATTGAAACACTGGCTTTGCAGGTATGGCACCAGGTCACAACATTTTGTCACCCTCAACAGCTGATAGTCATACGACTTTAATCCGATAGCTTTTTGATCAAAACCAGCAGGAATCCTGTGCTTCTTGGTGGCATGGTTTGGACACAAGTTATTGTGCCCAACTGTTGGCATAGATGTGCTCCAGAGCTTTCAAGGGCTTCACCTGAGGAGTCTCAGTTTTCCCCAGAGGCTTGGTTTCATTTTTGGCTACTAGTTTCAGCTCAGAGTTCTTTAAGTCCCTTGGGTTGACAGTAACTGAAACATTGTTCATTTTCTCGCTATGTGTCATTTGACGCTACCCACCAAAGATAAGCAGATCTTAAACAGGTAAATATGTCTAACTTAAAAAAGTCCCTCCCTCCATCAGCAAACTTTTTAGCTGCAATCAGCAAATCATTGATACCTATTGTGAACAGGGCTATTTTGTGAGATTGGGAAGGGGAGTTAATTGGTGGATTTGGAAGGTACTCATGCCTCCATCACACCTTCCCTGCCATATTTTCTCCACAATCTCTTAATCAATCATCTCATTGCTTGAATAACCTCTCATCATTTTATTCTCAATTCTGCAGTCTGCTCCTTGGTCTTCAAGTAATCAAAAACTGGCTAAGGAGGGCTTATTTTATAGCTGTGCATCTTCTTGAGCTTTCCTCTTCTTTTTATGTGTGATGCATCATAGTATACCCAAAGAATCTGTTCCCTCTATATTTTTCTACACATTTTGATTTTACTCATTCTGATTTATCCATGGTGTGATAACTTGCATCTAATTTGTATTATTAACCTACTTGAAGCAATTAAACATCATAAGCTGTCATTATATCTTTTGAAACAAGAATATCAGATCCAGCACATGTTTCCTCCTGCTCTTCTCCTGTCCATAATTTAAGCACCCAACATCCATAGGCTCAAGTCAACAGCCACTATATAATTTTGATCAGCCTAAAATAGCGGGTTTGGTGGTGTTAAAAATCAAATTATTCAGGCACCCAAATATAACTTCCATTATCTTTTTTTGATAGCCCTTTGCCTCAGAAATTCAAGTGTGAGATTTATCTTCTTTGAAAAGTGTGTATATTTCAACAGAAATCAAAACAACACTTGGATTGAAAAAAAACATACCTCATGTGGCTGTTCTACATGTAAATCCACATTCCCCATCATTTGGGAGGTCAATTTAGACATTCTACTTTTGGAACCAAAATTGATATGGTGATCAATCTCAACCAACACATAAGAATCAGATTTTGTGTTTTCTAACATCCAGATTGACTGATCCATTCTGATGGGAATCCATCCAATCAAGACCATCCCCACTGCAAGTTGGATCCAAGCTTACAAATCTCAAAGTTTGGAAACTGTGGTGTGTTGAATTATCCATGCATATGCAGCAATTATGTTCAAATTCTCACTTGTGTCTGAACAGAACCAGTCAAAACCTAACCAATACTTTTCCCCCCTTACAAAAACTCACCTGAATTCTGATCTACCAGTCTTTTTCTTCAAACACTTAATCAATCAAAAAATGGAGAAAAAGACTGTGAAGCACCTTTCTCTCACATCAACAACAAACCCTGAAGCCTTCCTTTTTCTTTATTGTTATGTTTTCATCTATTCATTATTTTTCTTCTGGATTTTATCTTGCATGTTTGCTACATCATAATTAATATCAACACAACAAAATAAATCCAACTGGATTTTTTCAGGTATGGAATATCCTCTCATGTTTTTCTTTCATCTATCAGTGTCATTGCTTTTTTTCTAAGCTATCTTTATTTTTCTATTGTTTTGTTTCTTCAATCACTTTATAGGAGTGTAAAAGTGGAGAAAATGACTGATTTTGTCTTGGGCATGACCCCCATCATGATCAATATCAAAACATCAAACTAACTCAAACTGAATTCTTGCAGGTGTGTTACTGAGTCATATCATTAGGTTTGTTGGGAGTTGTTATCTAACACATTGTCATTATCTGAAAGGGTATGTTACTGAGTTGTATCATCAGAGCCGTCTGGAGTTATTATCTAACACAATTGTATTATCTGAAAAGATTACATAGTTGTGCACTTTAGATTCTACCCAAAAATTGCATGGTGTGTTTTTAGCAGCTTGTGTCCAGATGGTTTTGCACCACAAGTTTTTACAATAGCAACTGGGGAATGTGAAAGGTCCTGCCCCAGGGTGGCAAAGACTGCACTATACATTGGCTGGACATTGGTTCTCTTTGTCTAGTGATTGGTACCAACTGTGGAGAGTGTACACTATCCGGTGACTGGTACCATCCAAAGAGTATACACTCCAGCAACTGGTCAACTGGTACCCTTCACTTCTCTAGTGATCAGTAACTGTCATAAGTCTTCAAGAGTATCAACTCTCATGTGACCAATACTGGCACTTAAGAGTACATATACCATTGTTTTTGACCAGCAGCAGTCTTTGAGAGTCTACACTTCCTAGTGACCAACACTGTTCCTTGAGAGCTACATCTTCTGGTGACCGGTCCTGGTCTTTGAGAGTGTATTTACACCATCTTGAGTCTGGGGATGGGGGTGTCATGCTCTGATTGGGGAGATGGGGAAAGGCAAGCAGGAGAATCACACAAAAAAAACTTGTGATACTTGCAAGGTTGAGCTGCTTCTATCCTGATGCTATATGTTGTATTGGGATAGCAGCCAAGAGGCAGGTTGCTAAAAATTTCAAGTATTTAGCAGCCCAGTGGAGCTGCTATAATTGGTTTAGCAGCTGTGGAGGAGATGGTCTAATCAGACCAGTTTCAACTCACATGATGTGCAAAAAAAGAAAGGGCTAGCATTTACACCTGTTACATCCAATTAGATCCACACTTCTCAATGATCTCTTATTCAGTTTTCCTCTTGTTAATTTACCACGTTTGGAAACCACTGCTCTCATAAAATTGACCCAAAATTCAGATTTCTTTTTAGTAATAAAAAAAATACTTTCCCCCCCCCCCCTCCCCACCCCCCCAAAAAACAAGAAAAAAATAGACCCACTGTGGTTAAGCAGGTTTTTTTTGTTGTTATTTTGTTAATGTTGTGTTTTGGTGTTTTTTTGCCTTTTTTTGCCTTTTTTTTGCATTTTTTTGCATTTTTTTTGCATTTTTTATTCATTTTTTTTTGCATTTTTTTTGAATTTCATTTTTTTCCTCAGTTCATTTCTCATGCCTTCATTGATGAACTATTTGGAGGGCATTTTTTCGAATTGAAGACCAGTGAAGTAACCAAGACTGGGAGGGGTGTTCATGCAGTGCAGTTGCAATAAGCGCGCCCGGCGTCCTTGCAAACATCGCAGACAGTTTCATCGGTAGAGGCCTGGTGCTGTCCGATATGCGACTTCGCGGCCGCAGTCTCGGCGCGGGCCAAGGGCGCGACCACTATGTCCTGTGCGGCCGATGCTGCGGGAGTGCTGAAACTGACGATCCAAGCTACGATCCCGGCAAATGCAGCAACTCTGGCCGACGTGATCTGCTTCATCGAAGGCCTTGCCCTGAGCATGTGGAGACAGAGGTATGTGGATTTGATTGTGACTTGAACTTGCGACAATGGCAGTTTCGAGCAATAATGAGGAGGCTGCTTGTCAACTAAGCGATCAGTGATCGTACCACGTCTTCATTCAAGCACTATATAAAAGCCTTCAAGACTGTCTGCAACCTGATGTGCCCGGCTCTTCATGAAAAGAGACTGCGGGATCTTTCGGAAAACTAAACCGCTCTCAGGCGTTCCTTTCTTGAGCATCCTCGGCCTCTTCTTGAACAATTTGTTGTATGTTACTGTTCTATTCCAAGCGACCCATCTCTATAGTCCGACTAGCGTCACCGAATATAACATCCAACAAGGGAGAGAGAGAAAAGCCGCAGCTTAGATCAAGAGTGACCACTGCATTCCGGGTTGTTTTGCACATGTATTGCTGATTTGGAGGTGCCCAAGATGAGGATTTCGGAATCAAGTAAATGTGCGCTACACATGGAGTGACATTGCTGAGTCGCCGAATCTGCGGACAGTTGATCATACAGGGGGAGAGTCCACACGAGTAGGGAATGTAGCGGCGAAGAGTTGATCTAAAGATGAGATGCCCAGCCGGGAAAAAAAATAATAATCAATGAGACGAAGCGGGTGGACGAATGGAGAGAAGATGGAGACAGGCGGGGCAGAGGAAAGACGGCCCGAAGACGAGGGGGAGGTTTTTCTGGCGGCTCCCATGGCCGGGGAGATAGATAGCTTTCTGGGCAGCCCAGCGGAAGCGACGGCAATGGTCACAGAGCCGACCTCTAGCGAGAGCGGCGACAAGATGAGGGGGAAGCGGTCCCCGATCAGGGGTTGGAACCGCGGCCTTGATGAGACGGCTCAGACAGCTTTCGACCAGCGTCGGCGGGGCGCAGCCTTGCGCGACGATCCGACCTAGCCGGTGTCGGCCCGTCGGACGGCGCTTGAGCCGGTCCACCCGCACCCTTCCCCGCGCCCATTCCCGGAGACTCATCGGAAGACAGTCGAGCGGGTTGCGGGTCAGGTTCAACTTCCAGAGCCGCGGGAAGACCGAGGTCAGCCGCTGAGGTATTTCTAGGGAGCCGGAGGGGACAGAAATCAGTCAGGAAGCCGGCGCGGACCCTGCGGGACATTCAAAGCCAAGGACGGGCATTAGCTACCAGTGAGTTCGTTCCGCGAAACGTCCAGATATTTGATCCTGCCCATCGCATCTGCGCTCAGTCCTTCAAGCGGTTCAGGAGGGAGAGGACCGCTGGAGGAAGACCCAAAGATCGGGCCGAAGGATGTGTACCAGGATGTGATGGTCTCCGCGTCAAGTAGTGCTGCTGGCAGCTTGGCCAGTCTGAGGTTACAGAGCGATAGGCGGTGGGTCAGGTGCAAGAGAACCCGCTCCAGCGAGTCGAGGACTATCCGAGTAGGACGGTCGTGGGCACCAACTATCGTCTGGGGCTTCGGAACGGAATGCTAGTCGGATTATTCCCCCATACATAAGTCAAGGCTTCAATCTCAGTAGAATCCGGTCAAAATAACAGGATCCAATATACAGATACAAGCGCAAGGATCCTACACACTTGTTGGATAAGCGTCCGAAGCTCGACATGCATCTCTTGCTTCCGCAGCTTCGGCCATTTCTGCTGCATCACCGTCAGCGCCTTGGCTTCGTGTCGGTCCAAGCCTTGCCGATAGGCTTTCGAGTTGATCGACGGCGCGTGGATGGATCGGTCGAGATCATCAAACAGCCGAGCTGTCTTTCCCCCAACAAAAATAAGTGACATACATATATGAGAATCAGCATAGTTACTTGGCTAATATGGTCATCAAGAGTAAGGAAGAGGGAAAGCTTGATGACAGACAAAGAATCGGGAGGAACAATCCCAAGGATTTGAGGCGTCCTGCCGAGTGGGAGCGGTTGAGCGACTTGTCGAGTTCCAGTACGCTCCTCCATATCGCGCTCCACGGCAAGCATTCCAGGGCATGTCGGCCCTCCAGAAGGAGCTCAACCAGTCGCTTGTTCGCTCGCACTAGTAGCACCGGACTGCTGCCGTTCACTGCCGGGCCTTCTAACCACGAGAATCCCCTGTGGCATACTTTCCAGGTCACCGGTCCGTACTTTTCCTCCATCTCACTCTCGCCCGTTTCTGATGCTGATTCGCTTTCTTCACTTTCTTCGGAATCAGAGTCTTCACTTTCTTCGGAATCAGAGTCTTCACTTTCTTCCGAACCAGAGTCTTCACTTTCTTCCGAACCAGAGTCTTCACTTTCTTCGAACCCAAGTTCCGATTCTTCTTGACCGTCTTCCGAATCCAGTTCCTCCTCGTCTTCATCTTGATCATCATTATTTTCCTCCGACTCGAGTTGGGATCGGTGATGATGAAGGACAACAAGCTCGGCTTGAGCGCTCTGAACGGCGGACCGCTCCGAGGAAGCGTCCGAACTTGCTTCTTCGCGAGGTGCTATCCGCATCGCCCAGCACCTCGAATCTCTCCCGCCCGTCGTTCCGGGTTCGTCGCGAGCCGGATGAGTTATTGGAGGTAGGCCAGTCATCAAGAAATCCTCCCGGCTCGAGTGGCATGCTGTTTTTTTTTTTGGATGTGCTCTGCTTGGACTAAGAGGGAAAGAAGGGCCCGAATGGACCCGGCGGCCCCACGGGACCACCCTTCCTCCCTCCCTCCCTCTGCTTCTCCCCCTGTGCCAAGGCTGTGATCACAAACAAACAAACAAATCGTTGCTGCCAGACTCTCATCATCCACTCCCAGACCATTAAATCTCAGTTAGGTAAAACATTTGCAGCTAGCTTGTAAACCTTGGATGGAGCAAGACTGGAATCAGATTCAGACGATCTGCGCTTGCAGATGAGCACCACAACATATATTTATGTATTAAAAGGTTTCCTGAACAAGAACCAGACAAGTTGATCACAAGAGAAGCCCGAGCTGCAGTGTGTCTCATCAATCTATATATCACAACACCGCGCACGAATTCGCGAAAAAAAAGAAAAAAAGATCGACAACATAAAAAGGAGTAACACGAGTGTTGATTGATACAAGTCTAAGGGAGGGCCAGCAACTTGTTTGAGTTGATAAGTACACGAGCACACGAGCAACAAAGAAGCGGCTCAACGACTCTCGGGCGGATGGCGAGGAGAGAAAACAGCCGTGCGGCCGGCGCTCCGTTTTCGGAGATCGTTTGGCGCCGCAAGAAGCAGCGAGGAGCTTGTTGCAGCCTGTTCCATCATAGCACACAGCGAGACTCCTGCCCTCATATATAATCACACCCTTATTACCCACTCAAGCCCTGCTGAGAAACAGCAAGGCCATCGGTTAAAAGAACACCATTTTTGAATGTTCACAACTATAAGCAGCATTATGTACGAGGTCATTGCGCATCCAACCGGCTCGATCGACTAGTTAACAAAAAATCCACAGCAACCGACGAGTAGTCAGTGGCCACAATCAACTGCCGGTGGCGACCTGATAGATCCCATAGACGTTGGAGGCGAGGATGACGAAGACGAGGAGGACGGTGAAGATCTTGACTACCCCATGGTTGGCGAAGGAATGGGAGCCCTCCAGTTGGGCGACGTTGAAGCCTTTCAGTCCTTCCACCCCGCCCTCCTTGTCTTCCGACACCGATCTCGGACCGAACGAACGCAGGCTCGAGACCACTGGACCTTGCATCACTCGCTCATCTTCCGAAAATAGACGGCCGATCTTCGGCGGTAGACTGATCGACATCACCGCCTTCCTCGACGAGAAATAAGCTAGTGGGATCACCGCAAATCTGATTGGGTGGGTTAAATAAAAAAGCATCGAGATATTAGCATACGAATCCTTCTCAAGAGGAAGATGTGGAATGTGACTGAACGGTAAAACAATGCTGATAGCCACTTGGCTAGCAATAAGCATATCATTGATGCCCTTTTGGGAAGAAATAGCGGCGACAACGACTGCGGGAATGATGCCGAGAGTGCGAGTGATAAGTCTACGAATCAACGGACTAGTCTGGTATTCGAGGAAGCCGGCGGACAGGGATTGGCCGGCCATCGTGATCGTCAACGAGGCCGCATTGCCCGACAACCATAGGGAAACCGCAAACAGCGTCGCTAGACCCGTGCCTAGTTGGTTCTTCAACAGTTGGTGCATCGCAATCAGGTCCGCTTCTTCCACGATCGGTCCCGTAGGCTTGTTGTAAAAAAACGTCGTCGAGGCTATCACTAGGATCGCCGAGTTTACAACTGTGTATTCGCAATCACGAACAAAAAAAAAACGTCAGGAGAAGGATTAAACGGGCAATCTCATGATCAAGAGAAAGAAAAACGCACTTAATGGTAAGGTAAAGATCGAAGCAGCTATATCGAAGCTTGCATGATTGATATAACTTTTGCATTCCAGGACAGTCCGGACCTTGGGTTGTGAGGGGACAGGGGGAGCCTTCCTTGGATCGAGGAACTCTTCGGGTTGTTTTTCGATATCTGAAATGGTGCGTTGGTTGTGGACCATCGCGTCCTCAGCAGAAGACGCTTTCTTGTCGGCTTTCTTCTTTGATGTGCGGTCCTGGGTGGCCATAGAAGCTCCAAGGATGAGCGAATGAGGTCCAACGGTGGCGCCTGTTAGATGAACAAGGAGGTTAAAACACTATCAACCTTATGAACCGGGCACAGAGAGAGAAAGCAAGTGACCGACCAATGATGCCAATAGCGGTGTAAAAACTCGAGCCAGTCACCAGTTTCTTGCTCGGGATATAGCCGAGAAAGACCTGAGGAATGTTGGGGTTGACCTTGAAGAACAGAACCAAGGCAGAGACGACGACGGCCATGACGACAAGCGTGATCATGATCTCAAAGATTTGCATCGATTTTCGGGATTGCTTGCCGTTCCGGAAAAACAGAAGCGCCAGGAAGACTTCCGGAAACGTCAAAAGGACTGCTACCCATGCAGGCAGTTGTGGGAACAGTCTTTTTTGTGTGAAAAGGAAAATTAGCTAAAACTGTCCAGGTCATCTGGACTTTGAGGCAATCAAATAAAACATACAAAAGCAGGGCAGTAGCCGAACCCAACAGTTCTCCCATATCGGCGGCCCTAAATAAATCCAAACATGTGAGTTAAAGGTTTTACCAGAAGTGTCAAGACCATGGATAAATAAAAAAACGCACAAGATGCCCAATTCGAAGATCAGCCACAGCGGGTACAAGGCGATCCACTTTTTGATTGCGTGTCCTTTTTCATTCGAGTACAAGGCCTGTCTGCAATTTTGTGCAATATCTAAAATTCCACACACACACCAAAAAAAAAAAAACAATTGAATTTTACAAAAAAAGAAGGAAAAACAGGGGGGGGGGGGGGATGAGGGTACCTTTTCGACTGATGAAGCCCAGCCGGGTGGCCAGGATCTGTAGAAACACGGCCACTGAGATGGCCACTAGGAGGATGAATAGATGGGCGTTTCCGAAGCGAGAGCCGGCTTGCAAATCGGTGGCCCACTGAAACAGAAACTTCCCGGTCAATAAATTAAAACAAGTTCCAGAGTAGTCCAGGGCAGAAACAAAAATCACACACATTACCAGGGTCATAATATGCTGCTCTGTGTAAGCAAAAAAAAAAAAAAAAAAAAAATCAGGATGAGTGAAATGGGTAGCAAAAAAATATGTATATTTTGGTTGATGAAAGAAATCAAAGGCGTACGACGCAACGATCCCAGGGCCCAGAAACTTGGCGTGTCGTCGAAAGACACCGAACACGCCTGATGCGCGTTCAGATGAAGGGGCCGGTTCAGCGGAGGCGTCCTTGGAGGCCTTGCGGGTGATTTTGAAGGGCATCGGGAGGACCGGAGGGGAGGATTAATGCGGCCGGAAGGTTGCCGAGAATGTCCTTTGATGATAGATGAGAGGATGGTTCACTGAATTATAATAATAAAAACTACACTTTTTTTTTTTGGAGGATAATCTCGACCAAGAAGCAATCGTTCGCAGAACGTGCTGAGCTCTAATCGAGTCGGTTTTTTGGACTCCCGTCAAGGGTCGTTCTTCGTCGAGGAGATTTGGGATCCGGAACTGATAAAAAAAACAAACAAGAACACTACTTATGAAGAGGTTGGAAAAAGAGGTGGGTGGGAGGATAGGCGGATAATCCAACCATATAATAAAAAAAAGCACGTCGATCGGGCCAATTATAGAGGGACAATGATGGCTGAACAACTGCTGGTAACGGATTTAGTACGATAATGTAAATAAATAAGGTGCTGGATATTATAGAGGATAATCCTAGAGAGGATTATTATTTATTTGATTTTTTCAATAATTAACAAACAGGCGCCAGGTCGGGGATAAATAACGATCAAGAAGATTGCTTGAATACTTGTCGATTATTTTTTTCTTGCTGGTTGGCCCAAGTAAACAACGACTGATAATGATAATAATAAAACTTAACGAACAACAAAGAAGATGAAGCAGCGTGATTTGAGACGGAAGCGAGAGAGAGAGAAGAAAAGGGAGGGGGAGATCCACCTGGGAGGAGCAGCGGGGAGTCGTAGAGGGGCGAGGAGGAGTTATAAGTGGGCCGGGGACTGAGGCTTCTCGACGAGGACATCCAAAGGCGCTGGCGATTACGGAGCTGTCGTGGCGGGTGCAGCGGGCAAGAAGTCGGAAGACAGGATGGTCGCCGTCCGAGCGGCCGTGGCAGCTGGGACGGGGGTCTTGGTTGGGCTTTGCCGATGATACCTCGTTTTTTGTTTTTTTCTAGATGAAAGTGCGGTTGATTGGTTGGGCATTGTCGGACAGTGGGGTATGATTAAGGGGCGACCGGAGTGTGTCTTCCGGGAGAGGCTGAGTGTGTTTGCTGTGTGTGTATGCGCCGGATGATCGTCTCCGGCGAGCGATCTGCGTCTGCGAGGATCAGTGGGAGCGGAGTACATAGTGGTACAACAGCCCGGGGAGTGAAGGGGAGCCTGAAAGCGATTATAACAGCGGCACATTATAATTAGAGCATCCGCATCGCTTGCTCAAGCTGACTGTCCACTTCCGGCGGTCCTTCATGAACCGGAAACGCATATTTCGAAATTCGGTTCAAATCCACAGACTCCATTCTGGTGCCTTGATCATCAATTTAATTTGGCAAAAGAATTCGTGCAACTACATATACCATTAACAAGACAGAGAAAATCCCACTTTGTTTTTATTCTGCAAGTTATACATGAGCTGAATATAATTAGCCTGAACAACAAAGAAACAAAACAGGGGGTTGTGTAGTCCTTCCCGGGCAAGAGTGGTGGCATTTGCATGGATTTTCTACTTCAAACTCAATTTTAGCAGGCAAAAGGCTCCATCCAGTAGGCAAGAAACGTCTCAATGAAACATCCGGGGGCAGTGGGAGGCTTGCTGGTGTAACTGGCTGGGCACAAAGCGGGACTTGAATACTAAAACACATTTCTTGTGTGAGCCAGAAACATGGTTTAGGAGCTGCCAACCTTGTTTTCCTCACCACTCATTCATTACAAGTCAAATTTAATTTTTGGTTCAAGTGAATGGAACATAATCATGATTTCTCTATGATTATGATTATGATTTTTTTTTCATCATTGCTAAAAAATGAGTTTGGTTCTGCTAGAAAAAATGTGGTGAAGTTGATGATTGAGCTTTGATTTGCCAATTTGGAAGAGCTGAGACTGGAGCAGACTCTCAGTATAAGCATCTCTTTTATGTCAGCACTAGTATGAGGCCCTTTTTTTTTTTTTTTTTTTTAAATTGATTGGTATGGAAATAGAAATATGAAAAAAGGAAGATCAAGAAGATGTCATCTAACAACAACAAAAAATGAATTTTTGAGAAGAATAGCATCAAAGACAGGGGCCTTCAAAATGCAATGTCTGGCTTGAGTCAACTCTGAGTGATAGTATGTAAGCCTCCACCTCTGGCAAGACTGGCCTGCCCACACAGAACTCTCACCACAAGAGAGGCTTAGTTAAGCTCGAGAAATGTTGCACACAAGAAACACACAAAATAACAGGGGTGGGAAGCAAGAAATGTTATTGTGAACCCCCCCCCCCCTAGTTTAATCACCATAGAAGTACTACAGGGACTGTGAGTTTTCCAATTTTTTCAGCAGATTTTTTTTTGCTCTCACAGCTTGCAAGCATTGGATGAATTCCCTCCCTTGGCATTGACAACCCTTGCAGAGTTTGATTTGGAGCATCTTGACTGATTGAGCTAAAAGCAAGCAATTCAAGCTTGCAGCTATTGCTAAGTTACAATAGCAATGCCGATTCAGTTGCACCGGTGTGGCCTGAGATTGAAGTGGTGATGGATGGTTTGAAGTCAAGGTGTGTAATATTTACGGGAGGGCACCAAATTGAAGCACGTGCACGGGTGTTTGCTTTTAGCTAGCTTGTGAGCTAACCGTTGCTAGATCTAGCAACGGTTAGCTGAAATGGGAGCCACGAGCTAGTTTTGCTTGACCTTAGCTTACCCCAGTGTGGGTGAATCTCAAGGCTAAAGTCCTTAGCTCGCACGGATTTAGCCTCCGATACGGATGTTCTAAAGCTATCAAACAAGAGCTCTGGTCTACAAAGATCGAGCCACCATCTGGTGTATACAGCATGACAGTTGCAGGTGTTATGATAGCCAAAAAGACAAGCATATTATAATAATCCTGTGATATCTGCATGGTTTGGAGAACCAATTTTGGCTAATGAAAAAACAGAAACATTGCTCCAACAATTTGAGAATGTTTAGAAGAAGAAAGAAACCTCTCAACAGGAATCAGAAGCAGACACATCCACAGAGGAAGGAATGGTGATCAATGGCAGGGGGAACAATGGTGATCAATGGCAGGGGGAACAATGATGATCAAGGAATCGAAGCAAAAAAGGGTCCTAAGAATGTGTCAGCCGCGGTGATACCAAGACTCTGAGTCTTCTAGCTACACCAGGTGATGGGGTGGTTTGGTATTGTATTTCGGATGGAAAAGAATGAAGAGAGGGGCCCAGGTTATGGGGGTGTTTACGGTGCCCTCAGGGATACAAGCCTGGTCTGATATAATAGAGACCGGTATTGGCTTCTACGGGGTCTTGAGCGGAGTCAAGGGTATTTGGTCCGTGTATCTGAGTAGTGATGGACAGAGGAATAACCAATAAAGGTATTCCCCAGAAAGAAATACTAGCACTCAAGGGCAAAACTTACAGGGTGGATCTGTGGTGCTGGGTAGTGGAATGATATTTGGAAAAAGAGGTAAACTGGAAAAGGATGGGGAAAACTAGTAAACTGGTAAACTGATAATTCCTAGCTACCTTGTTTACTGGTTCTTTTTATACTGTAGGTACCAATAACCCAAACTGGAAAGGGTGCCCTCACCGGTCATCTCTGAGAATCTGGGATGGTGTATGATTTCCCAGGAGCTTTGACAGGGTAAATCTGCTCATCTCATGTCACAGTCTCCTGTCATGATGTATTTCAATATGTCACTAGTTTCTGTGAAGGACATTTTATGTCATTATTTTTGTAATATTACTTGATTATTAAATCTATCACTTATTATCTTGAGTTATTGATGGAAATATTGCAGGTCAGCTTGACTCTGTAATAGTAGCAAGCTGACATTTCCTCCCCACAAAATTATGTCCCCTTCAAAAAGGGATGGAAGATGCAGAAATAAATTGATGATAAGATGAAATTTTCTAAGAGGTTTCATGATGAGAAATTGAAGCATCAAGAGTCAATATAAGTTCATCATCATCCCGAATCTATCAGTCTACCAATTCACATTTCAGCTTCAGACCACAAGATTTATGCATAAAAGTACTATTTTATCAAGATTCAGTCACAGAATTCACTTGTATCATGAAGATCCTTAACAATTATGCACCTTTGAATACCTCTTTATATTCAATGAATGCTATCTGAACAATCATTCCTGAGCCCTCATTCTTAAAGTTTTCAAATTCTAATATAACTTTTAATCAGATATCAAATGATTGTACTGAAGTTTACTTTATGTCAAAACATATATTAATTGGGATTTTTAGCATTACATCTCTTTGTGCTTCTTATTCCTGCATTTTACTTGTTCTTCATTCCTGAAGAAATGGTCACCTCAATTTACCTGAGATGTCACATTTTCTTGCCCTACGGATTATCATTCAAGTGCAATACATGATTTTTTCTCTTCAGTGATAACTATTCAGATTCATTTTGACACTTTGTTATTGTAAAGGTTATTTTCATTTTTGCATCTATTCTTGATTTGATATTCAAGTCAGCTTGTCTTTAGTCAGATTGTCTTGAAACTAATAACAAGATGACATTTCCTCCCCTCAAAATTAGGTCCCCAAAAAGACAAGCAGGAAAAAAATCAAACATATTTGTATACAAATATACCAGCAAGAGATGCTTTAGATTATGCAGGGTGTGTAGGGAAAGGAGCAGAAATAACTCATCTTCTAAGTTCTTCATAATCTTGAATTCTTTCAAAATTAACTTCAAACTAGAAACATCACACAAGATTTCAGTGGTATCATCAAGCTAGGAAAGGATAATCCTGGATTAAATACAGGAGTCCAAGGAGGATTATATTTGTTTGGGTGTGAGTTTATAAACACCTGGTGTCTCATGTTACAAAATTATTATAATCAATATGATTATACAAGTCATAAGACTGAAGTATTTAGCCCTTATTTCTTAAGATTTATCAGTTGCAATCTCATCCTGAAGTTAGGTTGGAGAATTTTTGAGAGAAATTGAGTATATGAGTTCAAAGAGGCAGAAAACAAAAGGAGGAGATAGTGCCTCAGGTCAGATAGCACCTCAAAGAGGAGGAATGTGTTTGTTGGCAAGATCTTTGGGTATAGTTAACAGCCCATGAGTACTAATATCCTTCACATAAACGTTTGAACTTATCTGGCAGTTGCAAATTCCTATAGTTTCTGCCAGTTAAATCTGTTTGTGGGGTGGTCTCAGATCAAATAGATCTCTCTCATTTCAAGGACCTTTTACAAAACATCCAGAGATGTTCTCAAACCTGATAGGTATCTTTCCACTGAGTCCGACTAAAGTATCTAAAGACAAATAAGTCTGTCATTATCTGAGAAAGCTGTGTAAGATAACTAGCTCTTCAGTCACCTTGTCTTGCCGAGTATAATCACATAGAGGTTAGTGGGCCAATTTTGGTGGTAGGAAAAGCCTGATTAATTTCAAGCGAGATAGTTTTGTTTTTGGAAGCATGGGTTTCCCCTGTTGTTTGATATGCAGCTGATATTCTGCAGTATGAAGTTTTTGTAGTGCAGGAGTACCCAACAGTTAGATCCTCTTGAAATGTTGCAAACTGGGTGTAGCAAAACCAGTGTGGGTTGTTTACTTCCCAGTGAAATACTCTATCCAGTTGGACCTAAAAGGTTGTGAGACTTGATAAGACATTCAAAACAGATCATGAATTAACTCAAAAAGCTCACTATGGGGATTACAAGAGTATTGCATTAGCTGTAGCGAAGATGATTCAATCACAGTGTGCTATTTCACCAGTTCGCGAATGCCATGAGGATGATAGATGGATCTCAACACCTTGAAAAATCAAAAGGTGCTTAGCCAAGTTCAGGTTCCAGTTGGCAAAAACTGTCATGAATAGAGGCTTGTTGTGAGGGACTGATCCCTGTTAGTGTTGGCTTTGAAAGATTAGTCATTTATTTTGTTGTGTTTGTTTCAGGTAAGTGAAGCGAGCAACAAATACACCTGTAGTCAGGCAATAAAAGAGATTTATCAGATGTACGGCTTCCTTACAAGTATGTAGTCTGCTATCATTTACTGATCTCTTTGTTCCATTTTGATTTTCTTAGCGATCTGTTCTTTGGCAACAGCTAGATCTCATTGACAATGAGAGATTTGAGTTTGATTTTTTGTTGGAGTGAGATGATTGCATGTTGATGGTAAGGATGGCCCGGATGGTTTTGGTCAATGAAGATTGAGGATGAGATTCAGTCTCGGATATCTAAGAAGGTCTTGGGAATTGATCGTTAGGTGAAGGTCTTAAGTGTCTTTTGTCGAAGGTTAAAATTTATTGACAGGAGAACAATGCCTTTGGTGTTGGTGCCGGAGAAAGATGAGTCCAGTTGATGGTGTGGATGTAAGTTTGTATGAACAGTGAGGGGCAGTTCCACATGCAACCAAGAATCAGTCTATTAGAGATAGGTCTGTCTAAGCGATGAGGATTCCTTCTAACTACTTGATGCTCTTATTCGTGAGCTTTAAACTCTGGGATTCTTTTATTAATAATTAGTGGCTATTGTTACTGTTTCTGGAGTTTTACTTGGAACTGAGCAGCTCCCAGCCGATAGGATTGTAGTTTGGACAAGTACACATAATCATATTGATGAAGATGAATAGACACAAGGAGTTTGAAAAGGAGTATCTCTAGAAAAGCAAGATGTCTACTCAGAGCGGTGAAAACAGTCTGGACAAGTAGGTTAAAATTTGATAAATTGTAACTCATTGACTGGCATATCTTAGGTATGACCAATGGTGTCGGAATTCAGATTTATAGCTGGGTTGTTGGTAATCCTTACATTCGGATTATCTTGTTAAAACGCAAACAGCTGTTGAGATGTTCTTCTTCTTTCTGATGGATGTGAGTGGCAGCAATATTGATTTGTTCTACTTTGCTTAATTAATCCTAATCGACTGGTAAATGCTGTTTGTTATAACTTATAGCCTCTTTAATTTTATAAATCAGGTTTTCTTTACAAGGGGTTCAAGATGATAGTTCTGTAGGCTTTGACTTTTGTCTTGATGGAGGACCTCGGCTTGCAACTTACAGACAGCTTTCTTACTTTCATGGAATAGCTGCCCAAGACTTCAAACCTTATATTCAGATTGATCTCTTCTTGAGCAGTCGGCTTCATTCTCCGCCTCTATTGGTTGGAATCGTATCTTCAAAATCTCCAATTCATCGACGTAGTCTGAGCAGGATGATTGAAGACTAGCATAAGCAGCTCTCAAGGCGGCCAAATCATCAAATAGTTCATCATTGACTTCGAGCTGGCTTGACATCTGGTGAGCTAGTATCAAGATGAATTCATTTCTCGCTTCTAGTTCGTCTTCCATTTGATTGGATTTGAGTCGGCTGAAGTGCTCTTCAGTTTCTTCAGCGGGGAGGCTCATTAATTGGCCGACCGTGGTAAAGATGTAGACTGGCTTATGCATCATAATTGGTTTATTGTGCTTGAATCACAGAATTACAGGTGTCAAGCAAGTCAATTTTTGTTGTTTGATTGTTCAATCCCACAAGGGGAACCTCGCAAGGAATATCTTTCATTTGGTAGTGCAAAACTGGGGGAAACGCTGCGACCCATGTCCGAGATCTTTGGTGTAATCTCACTTAAATGTGGTGCTCGGTCTCTTTCCACTTTCTTGCCTTACTTCAACTTTGTCAGGTTGGTTGCAAACACCAATTTGAAGTCGTCGGTACCAAGATAGTGTGATGTTTCACTGTGGCGACGCTCAGCAAGCGGCGGAACCTTTGAATTGGTTTTATCAATACCTTGGCGGTCTTGTTTGGAGAGAGAGTTAGACCTGCGTCTACCATGTGGTGGATCGGATCTTTGATCAAGATGGGCAAATTTTTTTCTTAGTGTTTTATGAACGTGCCTGAACCGAGTATGTCCACAAAAAGTTATGATGAATGATCTCAAAAGGAGGGTCTTGGATGGTCAAGATATGGATCATATTATCAAGGTGTGAACAGTCTCATCGATTGGTTATAGTAGACTTGAAAGAAGTTAAGAAAGTAAGGGGTAGAGAGTGAACTGTTACAGGGAAGAGGGTTCTTAAGTTGGCTTTATTCTTTCTTGTAAGTGTTGTATTTGCGAGATCTTTGTTACTTTTTTATAATGTTTCATTTATTTTTCTTTGATATGGTAAACAGAAGGATTAGATGAAACAAAAGAAAGTTGATTGATTATTAGTTTGCTTGATTATCGAAGCGGAATAAGATGATGCATTGATATGTTGTTTTGAAAGGGGATAAGGGTACATTGTATTAAGTTGAGTAGGCCAAAGCCGATTTGGAGGTAGGTAAAAGAGTATTGTAAATCAATCTGTTGAAGGTATTAATGGAATTGAAGAGAAGGATGAGGCTGGGTTGACCGATGAAAGGTGTTCCCGGCCAGACCCCCAGTTGTCAGCCGCGGTGATACCAAGACTCTGAGTCTTCTAGCTACACCGGGTGATGGGGTGGTTTGGTATTGTATTTCGGATGGAAAAGAATGAAGAGAGGGGCCCAGGTTATGGGGGTGTTTACGGTGCCCTCAGGGATACAAGCCTGGTCTGATATAATAGAGACCGGTATTGGCTTCTACGGGGTCTTGAGCGGAGTCAAGGGTATTTGGTCCGTGTATCTGAGTAGTGATGGACAGAGGAATAACCAATAAAGGTATTCCCCAGAAAGAAATACTAGCACTCAAGGGCAAAACTTACAGGGTGGATCTGTGGTGCTGGGTAGTGGAATGATATTTGGAAAAAGAGGTAAACTGGAAAAGGATGGGGAAAACTAGTAAACTGGTAAACTGATAATTCCTAGCTACCTTGTTTACTGGTTCTTTTTATACTGTAGGTACCAATAACCCAAACTGGAAAGGGTGCCCTCACCGGTCATCTCTGAGAATCTGGGATGGTGTATGATTTCCCAGGAGCTTTGACAGGGTAAATCTGCTCATCTCATGTCACAGTCTCCTGTCATGATGTATTTCAATATGTCACTAGTTTCTGTGAAGGACATTTTATGTCATTATTTTTGTAATATTACTTGATTATTAAATCTATCACTTATTATCTTGAGTTATTGATGGAAATATTGCAGGTCAGCTTGACTCTGTAATAGTAGCAAGCTGACAGAATGATAGATCAGGGGGTCAGTGGGCTAGCCGAGCGAGTCAAAGGAAGGATATATAAGCTTATATTCCCTCAATCAGCTTTTTTTGCTTGAGCGATTTGAAAAACCGTGAGTACGTCAAAATAAAGCTCGTTGGCCTGCTTAGCCCTGACCTCTGGCCCGCGCAAGATTTTAGCAAACCGATTCACGCAGTCCACCAGAGGGGTGAAAGTTTTGTATTGAGGGGTGAAGTGGGCAATAAGCCGGGGGGGCTGATTGAGGTGGAGCTGCTTGATGTCCGCCAGATGATCCGGGGAAAGATCTTGCCAACCAGTGATCGTCGCACATGATGCTTGTCGATCTTCGGCAGGATAATGGATGCAGACCCATATCAAGACCCAAAAGAAGGATTCCAAATCGTCCACAAACTCGTGATGATTCTGTTTTGAAAGTAAACTGATTGACATGAAGATCTTGGTCCCGATTCTTGTGTAGGGTTCTTCATCTTCTTGTAGTATAGGGTAGGCAATTGCCAGATCTAGGTCGATCAGGAAGGATTTTCGGTCTGGTTCGTCGGACTGCTTGTCAATCATGATGTTGGTAATTGAGACGTCTCTGTGGAGATAGCCGGCGTTCAACAAGGCCTGATGGCCCTTGATGCAGCCCTCAAAGGCTTCCAACAGATGGACTGGAGAATCAACCGTCCAGATCGGTTGGCCCACGTCTTTGAGAATCAACCGTCTATGAACACGATTGGTAAAGCCATTTGGCTGTTGTTGTTGATTGAGGGGTGCATGGATGGTTTGGAGTGTGGTACAGTTGTTGAAGTTGATGCCAGCCCGAAGATGAGATTGAATGTCAACTCTCTGGTTGGCCACTTCAACATCTTCATGATGATGATACCGAACCATGTGAGGGACCTTTTTCTTGGTCACCTCGCAAAGCATATCACCTTCTGCTTTCTGGTCTAGAGGTTGCCAAGAATCTTTGACCACAAATTTCTGATCCACATCTCCCAAGAGATGGGCTCGCCAACAGGTCGTCCCCCGTCCGCAGATCCCCGAGGCTCGGAAGATGGGGCTGTCGGGCCGGTCTATGACAAGGTCTTGAGGGTTGGACGACTTGGCATCGATTTGTACCTTGAGTGATTGTGGAGTGTCTGTACAATTCGGCCCATAACTTTCAATAAAGCTCGGATCAAAGCCGAGAACTCGCTTATTTGAGATTAAAAACAATACAATCAGATTGAGGAACTGGAAAAGGTTTTCTTTGGTTTCTTTGATGTCTAATAATTCGGAACCAATGGCCCCGGACCTATCAAACTGCCAGAGCCGCATGAAGGTTCCACACAGTGTAAGCCCAACAACAGAGCTTCGGGTGGGCTGAGCTTTGAAGATCTCGCAGACGACCTTGGCCAAGTCGATATCAGCATCTCGGGCTTGTGATTTATCCTCCTTTAGCTTGACAGGGACCAGAATGTGTTCGATGTGGTTGGTCCACTTGAAAGGCTGGGACACGATCCCACAATCCAACTTGCGTTTTCCCTTGATGCCCTTTAGATGTTTTCTAGGACAGGCCCAAGCACGAGAATGCACCTGGGTTGGTGTTTGATTCTTCAGGCAGGCGGAGCAATATTCAACAAGCGATCTGATCCACTTCAGCATCATCGAAGGCTCCGAGATTCTTTCTTCATACTTTTGATTGATGAAGATGTCGTGGGGTTTCAAGACCGAGACGGTATCGGTTTGATGTTGCTGGAGGAAATGCTCCAGTAAGCCTGGAAGGTTGCCATACATCAATTCCAGCTTGAGCGCAGGAGGGGAGTTGGAAGAGTGGCTGGAAGATGTGCTGCTCTTCATCGAGGTTGATGTGACGGACGGGCTCGGGTGGCTCATGCATAGTTGTTCGGCAAGATTATAGATTTCTTGATCGGATTTGAGTTCGCTGCTGGCGAGAACGAGGGTGACGAGGGGCTTGAAAGGTTTCAAGCAATTGTTCTCAGGAAGGGAGGAGATTTGAGGGAGTGCCTTGACAAGCCGTGATTTGGAATCAGAAGGTGACTGGATGATTTGTAAGCGGATGATTGCGTGCAGCAAGACGAGGTGCTCCTTGGTGTCTGTAATAAAGTCGAATGAATGTGAGATGGTAGTTGAGTTGATTAGTAAGTGCCTAGCTTACGACGCTTGCCAAGACTGAAGAGCTCTTCGAGGGTGTTGATTCCATGTGAAGTTAGAGCGTTGCGCAGACTGATGTGAAGAGGCTGTTTGACGAGGACGATGGCAGGCTGATCCATGATGCGGGGGTGTGGTCGGTGAGGTTTTGGTATTGCGAGGGGAGTGATTGATGAAGGTTGAGGTTGGATTGGTCTATGTAGGAGAGTGAGGCGGCAAGGATGGAGGCAGATCAATCAAAAGAAATAACGAAAAGCAGGAAAAACAAATTAACTTTTGTCCGCGGCTCTGTACAATAAAACTCAGAAAAATCTCCTCGACGTATGTATTTTGAATATTAAGACTATGTACATACATACATGATGTCATTCCCCCGGGGTGGTCAACAAGAGAGTGTTTCTCTTGACCCACTTGAAAGAAATCCAAGTCGAAGTGGGACAAGATCAAGCAATGAAGGACGAACAGAAGCAATACTACAGACTCATCGGACTCACCCTCAGCCTGCTCATCACCATCAACCTCATCGACCACCAAACCAAGCAGCAACTAGCAACAACAACAACAACAACAACCACTCCCACTGATCCACACTCAAAACCATTCACCATCCTCCTGCTGGTCATCTGGCTCGGATTCCTGTTCTCATTCGTCGGCATCGTCGCTTCCGACTTCTTCTGTCCCAACCTATCCACCATCTCTCTCAGATTGGGACTATCCGAAAACTTGGCTGGCGTTAGTAAGTTGAACCAACTGCTCAAAAAAGTACATAACAAACTGACCATCCATTCCAGCTCTCCTAGGTTTCGGTAATGGCGCACCAGATGTCTTCTCGACCTATGCAGCCATCAAGGCAAACACCGGCTCATTGGCCATCGGGGAGCTCATCGGAGCCGCCTCATTCATAGTCTCAGTCGTCGTAGGATCCATGGCGATCATCAGGCCCTTCAAGGTACCCAGGCACTCGTTCCTCAGAGATATCGCCTTCTTCATCATCGCCATCATCTTCGTCCTCATCATCATCTACGATCAGGTCATCCACAGATGGCAGGCCAACACACTCATCCTACTCTACCTCATCTATGTCGCAGCCGTCCTACTCTCCTCCTGGTCTGTCGAACGCAAGCGAATCAAACTCGATCAACTCCAGATCGCCCGTAGCCAGTACTCTCACGACGATCAACTTCTCGAACCCTATCTCGATCACCCCGACTTCCCCATCCAACCTACTCCAGAGGAAGATTCCGATCCACTCATCCCAGAACTCAACCAGTCACTCAATTCCAATCCTATGAGCCGATCATCTGCATCATCCCAGCTTGGCCCCCCACCATCCCATCGCCCCTCAGCCCATCGATGCAAGACCTCCTCGAGCGCTCAATCGCAGGATTCATTCAAAAGTCTCATCGAGTCCAGTGCTTATCCACTCCCGGCGGTTCGACAAAGACGGATGCGTGCCCCATCACTTTCCTATCGCGCCGGACCAGGGGTCAACCCACTCGGCATGGCCAGTCCGAACCATTCTTTTTCTCATCCACCAGCCATGCATTCCAGTTCGTCGCAGGATGGCCTTGGCTCACCCGAGCTCAACCGACGTCGTCGCCGGAGCACCATGGTCATCAACCCGATCCGACCCAGTCTGTTGGGTGCGATCGAGTTCAGGGACGTGGTGAACTCGCTAGCCCGAGAGTCAAATGGCCGTATCAGTCCACAGCTCGGCCATTCCTCTTCCCAGGGTCGACGTTCGCGCTCGACCAGCATCGTCCCGGATCCCCGGCCCTCCGACCTCCCGGGTCGAAGATTTGCCTATCCCGTCCGCTCCGACTCGGATCGACCGCGCAGAAAGACCGAGTTCGCGCTGCCCGAATCCGACTCCGGGCTGCCCTCACGCCCCGTCAGCAGTGGCCATCGGCTCACCCAAAGCCAAGGCTCCATCATCCCTCCTACACCCAGTCCATGGCAACTCACCAACCAAGCCGATCAGCGGAGCATCATCGACCTCTCATCCGACCAAGATTCCACCTTCACCCCATCCGATCATAGCCTATCTAGCCACCAACCTCTCCCTCCATCGTCCCAGACCATCGTCTCATCGTTACATAGAGCTGTCACCCCATTGCCCTCTATCCTCATCACTTCTGACCGCCAAGAAATCCTCGCCTTGCCCGACTCCCCGGACCATTCTAATCTCCAAGCCCACCAATCCTCCACTCATTATCATCATCATAATCATCATCATCTTACACGACTAGATAGATACAGACGATGGAAGATGATTGGTCGGACGGTCTGGGAAACTCTCTTCCCTACGCTCAAAGACTGGAAAATCAAAAGTCTACTGGGGAAGATCATCGCGATCGTCTCTTCCCCGGCGGTCTTCTTGCTCACTCTAACGCTCCCGGTAGTCGATGAGACTGCAGAAGATGCGGAAGATCAGGAGGAGCTGGGAGCTGATGATGCTCAGGAGGAAGAGGAAGAGTGTCGACTTGGACTGGCGTTGGGGGCAGAGAATCGGCGGGTTTTTTTGGATGGCTTGGAAGACAGCGCGAATGGGGGTGAAGGAGCGCAAGACGGGGCAGACAGGGGGCGTGCGTGTCGGCCAGACAGTCCTCAGAAGCCGGCCACCCGGCGCTCTTCGTCGTCGTCTTCTTCGAACCAGGAGGAGGCAGAGGAGTCGCGCCGCGAGGGCCATCCGGTCTCGTATCCGATGGTCGACGTAGGCCCCGGCTCGTGTTCCGCCTCCTCATCCTTGGACCCACGCCCTGCCCTTGCCGTCCTCAGTGCCGCCCGCATCTCCCCTGACAACCCCGCCCACCCTATCGTCGATCCGGGCCTGCTTGACCGTTCATCCTCCTCCGACACCCCATTCTCCGATCATCATGTCGCCAGACTCTTGGCGACCGTCCAGTCTTTCCTGTCCCCAATCTTTTGGAAGATCTGTTTGCAGAACAACGAGGATCAAGATCCCAGCAATCCAGACCATCACTCCACCTCCCTTCCCAAACATTTCGGCGGAGCCGATCAAGGTCGGAAGGATGTAGTAGTGATCTTCGATCGCTTCTCGTTGACGTACGACAATCTGTTAACACTGGGGACGATCGTTGGCGGGCTAGTGTTATCGAAGCTAGTCTATGTCCAGTTGCGGCCGACGGAGGAGGGGAATAACGGCAAGATGAAGATCGGGCTGTGTGTGTTGGGCTTTGTGAACTCGATGCTCTGGATCCTCTCGATCGTCGACCAAGTCATCCAAGTCCTCGCCCAACTCGCCAAGATCCTTCATATCGATAACGCCGTGCTCGGGCTCACGATCTTTGGGGTGGGCAACTCGTTGGGCGACTTGGTCGCTAATCTTACCCGTCTGTCTTCTTTCTTTCTTTCTTTTTCTCTCGCTTTTTTGGGGGGGCGGGGAGGGGGGGAAGGTTGATGAGATTCTGATGTTTTGGTTCTTTCTTTCTTTCTTTTGTTCATTGGAAATTCTGGAATGGATTGGATCGGATTGATTAAAGTGGCTAAAATGGGCTTTCCGGTAATGGCCATATCGGCGTGTTTTGGAGGGTAAGCAGGATGACCTGACGTTCCGTCGCCATAACCCCAATTGCCCCTCGCCCTACAAAAAAAAGCAAGAAGGACTGACATGAGTTCAATCTTACCGACCCAAAAAAAACAGCCCATTATTGAACATATTACTAGGCATTGGATTATCGTCCAGTGTGGTGATGACGACGCGGGGGACGAGCCAGATCGGGATCGAGAGCTCGAAGAGTCTGTTGGTGTGTGCGGCTAGCTTGTTGTGCATCCTGCTCGGCCTGCTCGTCGTCGTCCCACTCTGGAATCATTACATGGTCGATCGGGCCGTCGGCGTCTGTCTTATCTTCGCGTATTCTTGCGTCTTCATCGTCGTCATTCTCGGTCAGATCTTCTTTTAGAATTGTTCGTTCTTTTTTTTCTTTCTTTATGATTGTGATTATGATTATGAATCAGCAGGGGGGGGTACTTGTTATTTTTTTTCTTTTTTTCTTTTTTGGTTGACCTCGTTCTAGACCAAAGCCTTTCCTTCATTATCTTTATCTGCATACATAATATGTACATACATGTAGTACTACCATCTTCCTCTTTCTCTTTCTCTCTTTTTGGTTTGTATCCATGTATGTATAAAAGATATGGGTCAAGACGTGGGAAAAGAGAATCCACAATCACGTGCGGGTTGTCCTTCTTGGGAGTTGGGATCAATTGTACTTGAAAAAAAAGGGTTTTTCTTATGGAGAAGAAAGAAAACAGTAGTTTTGTGTGTGTGTGTTGTGTTGTGTTTGGCTGGTTCCTTTTTTGCGGGTATGGAGAGCCATAGGATTGGATATTTAGGATTGGGAGATTTGTTTCTTTGTAATCAAACAAATAGAAACAGGAACATCAGAAAGACCATTTTTGTAGGATGGTCCACATTTGAAATATCCCAGCAAAGTTTATTATGTGAAACCAGCAGATCAGTGCTTTGAGTTTGCATGCATAAAGTGTTGGCCAGTAGGTCTGCGAAATTTTGGAAGTTTTTTGAAAGGCCAGCACGCAGGAAGTTTATCCGAATCAATCAACAAGATTTCATTCAAATGTGAACTGTCCTATTAGATGATTGAGATGACGAGTTTGTACCGTACAGAGACGATCTTCATGGGACGCCTGCACCAGATTCTCCAGTCGTTGTTTTTTACATTGAATGATGAGTTGGTGGTTCCTATAACTCCTTATAAGGATGAGTAGTACTGTATCGTCACATTCACATGCACACCCACATTTTTTGGGAATGGCCATGAAAAGAGCTTCTGGACAGTGCATGACACATCTGTGGGAGAGAGGTTTCTTTTCTGTGAGAAGAAGAAGAATAGACAAGGATGAGGATGGTCATATCTTCTTGGGGCTTGTGATCTCATGTCACTTCATCATGTTGTCCCCAAGGTCTCCCTCAAGTGGGTCTTCTTGGTGATGCCAATAGTAACACCAACCCAAGGGTGTATATGCACCGGATGATTCAGGCCATGATTGGCTACCATCACTTTCAACACTACCTCATATCCAGTACTGGATATGGAGTAAAAAAAACTGGATATTCAGTGTTTTTTTTTAAAAAAAAAAATGGTGTGAAGATGTGAACAAAAAAAAATATAAAAAAACTACATATCCAGGTTTATTTTACTGCACATCCAGTGCGGGATATGAAGTTATGTTTTGAGTGCATGTCTGAGTGACTGGGCTCATGTAATATTGTAGGCCCCGGTTGGCCGTCCCTAATTTGTAATTCTGAGGCAAGATTTGGCAGGAGTTTGTGCAAAAATTTTATACTGTTTTATATATCACACCGTCCAACTCTGCGCCAAACCTTAGCCAGGACCCAGGCAAGTGCTCCCAAATGTGGGTAATGGCTGACTTCCTGTCAACATCTGCGGGTCTCCCAGTTTTGATTTAGAGCCGCCAAGACTAGATTTCCCTGCAAAAATCTGGACTTTTTGGGTCTAAATCAAGAATTGTGAGGGTCCCAGATCCAACGGGAAGTCCTCCAATGTAGACCCAGATGAACAAAACTCCAACTTGACTTTCAACCACACATGTAATTGGGATCATTCCAACATGGGGACATGGACAAGGAAAAGGTGCATCTTGTACATGTATTCATTAGTCATGAAGTTGAACTAGTGGCCCTTGAGAAGCCAAAAACTAAAAAAAAAAATCTAGTTTTTGGCTTCTCAAGGGCCACTGGTGCAGGTTCACAACTGATGAATACATGTACAAGATACACCTTTTTTCTTGTACAGCCAAACCAAGAAAGCTTGTGGTCTTGGTTGGCAGAATTTCTCATAAAAAAAAAAAAAAAACATCATCAGGAGTCTGAAGCTTTGGAAGAATACATTGAGTGTACAGATACCAGAATGCTTGCCGGCATCAGCGACAGGACCCGGCCGGCCACTGTGCTGGGGGGAGCAACACATTGAGACCGGGCCTGACCAAGACTGCCATCAGGATTCCGATGGTAATACCCTCATGAGCTGAAGTCAAGGGATCAAAAAGATAGCAAAAAGAATCAAAAGTAAACCCTGTATGCAAGTCGGCATACAGGGTGGTGTAGTCTTCCAAACATTCCAGCTTTGGACAATGTTTTTCTTTTTTTTTTTTTTGCCAACCAAGACCGCAAGCTTTCTCGGTTTGGCTGCACATGTCCTGATGTGAAAACTGTCCCGATTTGATGTATGGTTGAAAGTCAAGTTGGGTTTTTGTTCATCTGGGTCTACGTCATTACCCACATGTATTTGGGGGCCTCCTTAGCCAAATCACAACTCATGATTTGCGGCCAAACAGGGCCTTATTTTTTTGGGTTGCAAAGACTCTTTCCTCTTTGTAAAGATCATGAGTTCAGTGAAACTGAGAATAAAATAAAATGAATTGTTCCTCTTGATCCTGAGCACTGGAGTACATATGCAATGGTCTTGATCATGGAGAGCTCATTCTATCTTAATTAATTGATTGTGGGCACTGATATGAGCCCTTATCAGGCCTGGTCTTCTCATCTTCCTTCCAATATGTCTTGCTAGTTGGAATGAGAACCAAGTTTACAGCCGTCTTCTTGAATGGCTGGCTGGCTTGTAGCTCTTCGGGCCTATTTTTTTCATTTTAATGGATCCTTACATCAATCAACACCTTACTCGATCGTTTGATCCTTTATAGTCTGATCAGTTATTGTTGGCTTGGATTCTTGGCCCTTTCTGTGTGCTTTGTTGTTGGCCTATGGGTTGTTCAGTTCTGAGCTCATTGCTGACTCAATCGCTACATAGACTTGATGATGTGATGTGATGTGCTGATGTGATATGGTGATGTGTGAGGTTATCTCTGTTTGGTTGTTGGTTGGCTTTTTTTATTTTTCTTTTTATCTTTCTCACCTTCAACCAGAACCAACCAGAACACCCACCCACCCACCCACCAACCAACCAACCAACCAGCTCAAGAAAAGCAGCAAACGAACAACCAAGAAACGAAGCACAAAAGAACAAACGAACACAAACCACCCCCCAAAAAAAAACATATCATGAACTCACCAAACTCAAAACGATCCAAACTAGACTCACCCCTACAACAACAACAACAACAACAACAACTATCAAAGTCAGTCGGCCATTGTACATCAAAAAAAAAAAGAGAGATCATCAAGACACATAGAAAGATAAGACTCCGATTGACTTACCATCCTTACGATCTACACACAGCCCATCATCTCACTCTTGGAAATCAAATCAAAACAATACCCAAAATACCCAATAACAGTCAGTCAGTTTTTCGCATATCAA